GCTTTGTTGTTTATTTAGTTTGTGGCATACAGGCATTACATTGCGACAAAAAACACACTCAGCTAAAACAAAATAATAACAAGAACGGCACACGAAATCCACAGACAAAATGCTCATTATCGTAAATAACAGCGAAATATCAGACTAATGATCCAACCGATGTGGTTGATTAAAATAAAAGAAACACATACGCTAACCGTATTACAATCACACCACGAACCATTTCAGTCTTACGTTCCGATTTGTATCCACAACCAAACACATTGCCAAGAAGCATTTCCATGTTTTTTTTAGCGATAACAATATGATGCTGCGGTTAAGAAACCAACAATGCTTCGCAATATATTCATGTTGTTGGTACTTTATAAACGAATTACGAACACAAAACGTATAAACGTGACAACAAGAACAAAAAAAAAAACGGCGAAAAACGTTGACAAAAAGCTTGAACGCGTACTCATCACAGCCAGTAAAGTCGTTTTATGTGCGCAAATCTTTTGTTTTATGTGCATTTCATGTGGATTTATTTGGACATAAGATCAATGAATCTATGTTATGGGTATCCATTATCAACTTTTTGAAGCGCGCGTGTTCACTTGATCGTTCTCTTGCAATACATTCGCCGCTCACTCTGCACCATACATTTATACTATATTCAACAGAAATCGCATCATGTTTTTAAATCTTGGGGGATTTGTGCATTTGACCCGAATGTAAGTGGCGCATCGAATCAATCAACGCCGAAATCCAATATGCATTCCGTCTTACGAATTATCGTCGCTTGCATTCAATTCAAAATCAGTCTGTGATCAGACGGTGAATAAATAAATAAATAAATAATTCGATTAGTTATTTTCATTTATTAAATCTATAATAGAAATGATTGAATAAGCTGAATGCAAATTAAAAAAAAGAAGATAGAAACATTATTTTGAAGTAAAAACAAGGGTGCTAACACAAATTTAATCTAAACATATACTGAAAATTGTATTGAATATACTGATAAAAAAAATTAAAGCTCAATATCATCCTTAGCGGAATTGTATGGATTCCGTCTTGCACTAAACAACTACATTAACAGTCGATTAGAATGTTTCAGCTTCGTTTGGATTATTTTTTTTCCTCATCGGCATGTGATTGCGTGCATGTAGAATTGTATTTTGGATTCCAGCTGTGACAGTCATATAAATTAAACTGTTTCGATCAATTTGATGACATCAATTCATCTACGGCATAATTGTCTCGAAGCTTCTTACCCTACACATTCAAGTTGGTGTGTGCCCTTAGTAACTGCATACATTTTCCACCATGCGAAAGAAAAAAATTGAAGAGTACAGTTACGTAACCCGTTTGTTTAGTTCATTTAAGAAAATATGCGAAAAAAACCTTGAACATTTTTTCTCTTCTTTTTTTTGTCGTAAATGAATTTTCTTTTCTCGAGAGTCAAGCGCAATAAGGGTACACTATATAAACGCCATCTATTAATAACCGACTAACTACAATGTAAATCAAACGTATCTGTTTCCCCTTTTTATTTACTCCCTTCTCCTCTCGCTATACTTTTACATTGTAGTTAGCCTGTTTTACAAAGATGTCGTTTCTGTGTAAGATGTGTGACGTCACAATGTATTTATATGGATAGCGCTCGACTCTCGTCTTTTCTCTTTTCACGTTATTCATTTTGTTTTCCGCTTATTTTCTTACGGTCTTTTATTTTCGCTTAATTTTAAATTAATCGTATACTGTTTCGATTAATTTGAGATAAGGCGATTAAACTTTTATTCTTCGCATGAAACAAGCTTAAAACTCGGACAAAGTTGAATGAAAAATGAGCGGAAGAACAATATTTTATAACGTCGATACATCCATACTGTTTTTGCTTAGGAGGACACACCAACTTTCAAACAAAAGCAGCAGGCATTTTATTATTTTTCGAAAGGAAAGATAATGTAATTTTTAAAGGGTGAACTCACAATTGTGAATAGACTAATTTCACATAGACTAATTTTCGATTATAATCATCTATTTGGTGATGATGATGATGTTGTTGATAAGAAATTGGCAGACGTGTTTGAATTGGCAGAAATTCATACTTGTGCGGCGTGTGTCGCTATCGTTGACATTCATAGCATACCGAACATTTCATTCAATGAAATTTTAATAAGGTTTCACACAAAATTGACGTTGAATATTGAATGAAAAACTCACTGTTACCGAGTGTATAGTATTTTTGGAATTTATCTATGCGATGCGAGAATTCGTTTATTTTTATTATTACACTGTTTTCGATTCTCGGATGAGTTTTGGAAAACTTTTTTTTGCTCTCTTCATTTCCACAGAACTTTTTACGAATAGCTGTAGCAGAAAAATTAAGTGTGCCAGCTTCAGACAAAAAGGCAATAATGTGTTACGCAATTTTAAAGAAAGATAAAAATGCCAAATATAGATCTTTTTCACTTGAATTATCAGCAAAGATAACGCATTTTTTTGGTGATCACTTTTAATTCGAGGCACTTAACGTTCGATTCTCGCTTTGTGTAGACTTCTGATGTGCGAAAAATTGAGCAAAAAGCCCGAGTAAATAATAGAGCTATTACTTACTTGCTCTAACTTGTTCGATCATCTGACACTTTGTTTTCGGTGTTTTTTGGAACTTTCAATACTTTTTCTATACTTTCGGTCATGTGTGAATAATCGTCAGTATTTATGGTATTTTTGTACTGATTTATCCCTTGGGATTCTCTAAAAAACAATAGTCAGAACATAAATTCAATATTTACTACATGTTGAAAACAAATGCATTTGGTTTGATTTCAATAATCGGAGCATTTGATTCACGTTCCCAAAATAAACGATAATGAGCAATAAAGACACTTTTATAACAATGCTGTTTACCATTTGATATATAAAATTATTGAGGTTAACCAAGCAAACACTTAAATAAAAATTAAATGGTCATATTTTCTTAAAAATTTATAGCTTTTTTTGTAAGTTTAAGTTTGATGGTCAAATTTTAACGTATATCTAACATAATAAAGATAATTTATAGTATTTTGTAAAAAAAAAACCTCATAAATGATATGGATAATTTTCGAGCAAGGAATAAATAATGACGCTTTTTTACCTTCCATTGAAAATTCAATGAATCAACTTGAATTGTTTACAACGCTATTGAGAATGTCTATGAGCTAAGACTTGGAAAGAGTCTCGGCCAGTGAAATGTACGGTTCATTCCATCAATTTCTTGGTCGAAATCTCGAACGTATTCAATGAATACCACTGAAGCACAGATTGTAAAAAGGCAATATATCCGTATAAAAGCGGAACAAAGATAATACATAATGAGAACATAGACAGTCATAATAATGCTATTGCTTGTACAATCATTATGAACAAATGGCAAATGCTGTCTTCTCCTGCACGAAATAAAAAAAGAAGAAGAAGAAGAAGAGAAAAAGCGAGATTGATGTTCTTGGGTTTTATTAAAAAATTACAATTATTCTAAAGATATAGTATACATTTGCCATTGTGTGTTTGTCGATTTTTAACTTCTTTTGCGTCGTCGAATTGAAAGAAAACAAAAAAAAAAAGAAAAATTACGAATGGTGTTTGGCAAACAGCAAATTTTTATCGTTCACATTGACATTGATACAATCAAATTTTTGATGTATTGTTACAGAAACGGCCACACGAAGGAGAACGAATTGATTCAAAGGGAATTTCTGGTATGAAAAACGAGCAAAAAGACATTTTGTGCTCAAAAAATAGTAAAATACTTCATGAAATAAAAGAAGATGTAGAACGATTGTTGATGTATTTTTGTACATATTGAAAAGTAGTGAGTGGTTCGCCGGGCAATTGTGTGAGGGCGAAAACAAAAGGAACATGAAAAATGTAAATTATTGAAATATACCCATGGGACTGAGACGGGGAGAGAGAGAAAGAGAGAAATTGAATGTGCGAGCTGTGGATGGCTCAAGTTGTCGATATCGAATTGTACATTTACATATGTAATATATATATTTAAATTTCTATGGAACATTTTCAAATGAGAAAACTCCATTACGTTTGTGTATTCATAGTGGACTGTTGTTGTTGTTTCGATTTATATTTGTTTCGTGTGTTTCGTTACTTTTATTCATACATTTAGCATTTACAAAGAACAGTTTTTGCCATATATATTGCGATTGTAAACCGCGACCGAAGTGTAAGTACTTCACTCTCTGCTATTGTAAACAGATACAATATTGGTTTGTTATTTTCTCTTTCTCTCTTTATCGGTATATATCTGTGTCTTTTCTGTTGCTTTCTTTCTATTACACTCTCACTCTTTTACGCCTCGGGCCAATGCTATATGGAATTTGTGTTGGCAAACACCCGACTCTATCGAATATATCTATACTTATTTAATTCAATTATTCTTTGAAAAGTCCATAAGTTCGTTTTGTATTGGTTGGTACTGTGTTGTATCACAATTTTTTTTTTATTTCATTCTCAATTCATTTTATGATCTACGAATGTACAAAGCCTATTATACAGTAGTCAAGATGATGGCTATGGAGAAATGAATACAATTTTAGCATTTTACAAAACAACCAAATCGGTAAATATATAGAATGAAAAAGAAACGCCGCAGCTGACAAAAAAAAATGAACAGCAGTAAAGATACACATATATGTGTGTTCACTATTTATTTTTTTCATGTGTGAGAGAATATGCTTCAAACTAGATGTCAAAAGTTTTGCAGGAAAAAAAAACCAGAATATATGTATATAAAACTATAGAAAACGCCAACTAATCGTCTAAGAAACATTCATAGCAAAATAAATGAAACATTTAGCAACTTGATGAGAAGAAGAAAAAACAAACTTTTTAAAAGAGTCGAACACACTCTTCTATATACACACATTGACACACCAACACACAAACACAAATACAAATGCGCCAAATGAGATTACTATAGCGTCCAATCATCATCAGTAAAAGAACAGTAGCCAAACGATACGAAAGAAATACACATATGTGTATCGCTCTCTTCATCGACACATAGATTTTTCTCAAACTTTGAAACAAATTCGCAATTGCAATCAAATAATCTTGCAAATACTAAACACATACACATAATTCTCACATACGAAAATTAATTTCAACATTAGTTTCAATCATTATCACTGAAACGTTTCGCTCTCGCTGCGTGTGTGTGATGCGATCAATTTCAAAAAAAAAAAATTATTCCAAAGACACCAAATAAAAGACACAAAGTAATTAAACAACTTGTAATAGTGATGAGCATTTTTTGCTTGTACGAAAGAAAAAGAGAACTTAGCACCGCCAACGTTTCTCTATCACACAGAGATAGCAGAAGTAATGCAATTTGGAACGGAATTGCCAATTAAAGTTACATATCGCATAATTGACATACACGAATTGGGCTCATCTTAATTGTAATATATTTCAGTAATTTTTGGAATAGTTCGTTATCTCAAAAGAAACTTGTGTGCATCTGAGATGTAAACGCAGGCCGTGTGCGCGTGTGTTAGTTAATGTAAGCAACAACATTCTTGCAAATAATCCGACTATTAGTTTAGATGAAAAAAACCGAAAAAAGAAATAATTCGAAATATATCCCGGGTATAATCAGTTGTTTTGTTTTGTTTTGCTGACGACCAAATTCCATACAACACACGAATGCAACGGCGTTCACACGACGTGAATACATACATGGCCGTGAATTATCACCATATCGTTTTAATGATAAGCCGAATGAATGAATGGACGAATTGAATGAATGAGAGAGAAAAAAACGAGTAAAAGAGAGCAAACAAATGTATAATATGTGTATTCGGCATATAATAATATCAAATAAATGAGCAAAGAAAAGTAAAGTGAAGTGAAATTAGAAACGGCATTCACACAAACACTCACACACATCCATATACTTATAATATACGATGTTTTGTCTCTGTCTCTGTCTCTGCCTGTACATTGTCGAGAATGAAATACATTGATAAAATGGCATATATAACGAAAGCTGAAACGAAAGCAAAATAAAACATTGATTAGTGTTGTTAGTGGTTTGTACACTACATGACGTACGGTTCTTTTTCTCTTTCTGTTTTATTATTCACTCGATCTCTTCTCGTTTTGTATACGTTCAAGAGCGAGACCGAGATCATAGTGCACGCAATAGTATGAGTTTGAGAGTGCCTTTTGTCTGTTTTATCTATACTGTGCAATTCATTTCAATGATTCGCTCAATATACGGTTGTCCATCGAAAATAATTGTTGTATCGTCACCATCGACGGCCTAACGCTTTCGCCAGTGTGAGTGAGTGAGTGCTATCGAATCGCTTTCGTTTGCATTTGAAGCGATTTTTTCCTTTGTTTTTTTTTTCTTTTTATCTTCACTCCCTTCGATTATAATCACGAATTATTTGCAAAATTTGATTCTCAGCCGAATGAAAAGTTCTCGAAAAATGTATGATTACAATTGCGCAATTGATGAGACGAATGAAATGAATTGTGTAATTATTCAATTGAAATGGAGCGCATTAAATTCTGACATTTAGCTAGACGATTGTAATCGATCGAAATAAATTGAGAAAACATCGTATTTTCACTTCCAATCAATTCGATTATGTAAATTTCTTGGCATCTTGGCTCTGACCAAAGAAAAATGAAAAATTAATGTAATGCAATAAATTTGTTATTTCTTAAGTAATCATTAGAATTTCTGTGTTCTCTGTTGCTCAGACGAGTTTTTATGTTTGTTTGTTTGCTTCTTCTTTTCCTATTACAAAATTTGTTGCTAATTTCTCTCCGTCATTATCTTATACATTTTGTTTATGTGTTCTTTCTGTTTTTTTATAATTTTTCTGATGCGATAGGTTTTCCAACATTACCAATTTGATTTGATAGCCGTGCGTGCGTGCGCGCTTGTGTATAAGAGCTTGTTTTGTGTTTGTGTGTGTTGAAAAGAGCCAATGATAGATAAAATACGACGAGTTAGTTAGCTACATACAACGGAAGAGAAAATGATGTTGCTTTATCGTCGTGCTTTTCAGAACTTTGTGTCGATTAACCGGTTACGATGGCATCATTTACTCTATATTTCACAATCGAATCGCACAACGATCGCATGTTCGATCAATACCACTGCCAATTCATGTCAACAAATTGTTCGCACAAAAACTGGTGTCATCGCACATCAGAAAGATCATCAAATCCAACATTTCGATACCGATCAAATCATTGATGACAACCAACAAATACCAAAATCGAATCTATTCAAAACGAATTGTAAACCATTACCCTTTGAGGCGATCCCATGCGCTGATCAATCAAACACGATTTTGAATCATTTCACCGGAATTATTGCATTTTTAAATCAATGGAAACAATTGCTGACAGCAAAATGGGATAATCAATTTCACGATGAAATTCACAAGTGCCATCAACAATTTGGACCGATTTTTCGAAAATCATTGGGATCATCAAAAAATGGTGAGACATTACATAATGAATAAATTCGGAAATGTACATTTAATCCATCTCTCCTATATTTATTTGCAAATTATAAATTTATCTCAAAAATATGTAGATAAAAACAATCAAAAAATCTTAAAGTTCCATTATATTCGTATATTTGTATTTGTTTTCAGTAATTTTCATACAATCACCGGATCTATTGCGTGATGTATTTGTGTATGAAGGAAAGTATCCAAAACATCCGTTACCTGAGGCTTGGACATTTTATAACCAACTCCATAATTGTCAGCGTGGTTTATTTTTTATGGACGATGTTGAATGGTTGGAAACGCGCAAACAATTAGCACCGTTAATGTTGCGTAATGACCAAAGATTTTCAACCGCCATTGAAAATGCTACAGACGATTTGATTGAAAGTTGGAAGCAAATTGCAATTGAACATCAACATAATCGTCATTCGTACAGCTGTAATGGATTCACTGAATTGCCACAGGCATTAACATCACTGTACGGTTGGTCGATTCGTGTTTTAGTTGGCATTATGTTTGGTAATGCGGCCCATGTAATGTGCAATGAATTGCGTGAGACAATTGATCATTTTGCGCAAATCGTTCAAAATGTATTCGAAGATACGGTGCCATTTTCAAGTATTTCGCCACATTTGGCGCACAAATTTCGTTTACCAATTTGGTTAAAATTTGAAACAAGCGTCACCCAAACACTCAACATTGCCAATGAAATCATTGAATTTGGTTTAAAGCATTGTGATCATTGCAATGACAATGATGGTTTATTGATTGAATTGAAACGATTGGGAATGTCAAATGAAATGATTAAGCGAATTTTTGTCGATTTAATTATTGCTGCCGGTGATACGACCGCATTTTCAACGCAATGGGCAATGTATTTACTTTCGTTGAATGAACAAATTCAAGATAAAATACGGCACGAGCTTTTCGAAATGGATAAATTGGATACGCCACTGATACGAGGCACCGTACGCGAAACACTGCGTCTATTTCCGGTGGCCACTTTCATCGGTCGCATTTTGGGCAAAGATGCCATTCTAAATAACTATCACATTGATAAAAATAGTTTGGTATTGATTTCAATGTATAGCGCTGGGCGTGATGAAACTAGTTTTCCGCATGCAAATGAATTCCAACCAAATCGATGGAACCGTGATCCACACACCGGTACGCTTAAATTTGTCAATCGAGCACAAAGTTCAATACCCTATGCTTTGGGTGCGCGTAACTGTATCGGTCAACGTATTGCCAACGCTCAAATGCACATCATTCTATCGAAATTGCTGCGCACGTTCAAAGTCCAACTGTTGAATGCAAACGAGATTGATATTGTTATGCGTTTAATAATAATGCCCAGCAAACCAATGCGATTCGCTGTCAAACCGATCGATTAATTTGCACAAAAGGTCAATTCAATGCCAGTTTCACTGCTGCTACTGCTGTCAACCGTTTTCGTCGTTATTATTATTGTTAAACGTCATAACTTATAAGCTACTGCTACATACATAACTTGTCTAATAGCTATAGAGTTAATTATCATTTGCACACAAAACAAAACAAAACAACACGCACACACTATTCATTTTAAAAACATTGTAATTCTTGTTCGATTAAAGAAGAATACATATGCATTTATCAATTTTACAACAATAATAAAACAAAATCAATGCTTTTAACATATTTTGAAAATACAATACCTTTGAAGAATGTATCAGATAATGTAAGTAAACGGTAGCCAATTTAAAATAAATTAGAAAAAACTAAGTTGGATGGATATAAGAAAATTATGTTTATATCTACTCGAAATGGAAATCTTGAGACCAATTTGCACAACCACAAAGACTGTGCGTGCGCACTCGAGAGAGAAAGAGACAGAGAAACAGAAGATACGAATTAAAAATGAACACCGAATGCGGTTGACTTGCGCTAAAGCCATTAAGTACCATCATTAATTAGGAAGACAGTCCTCAGTTTGGAAAAGACAATGCAAAAAAAAAATGAAAAGTTAAAAGAACACAACAAACAATAAAATGAAATATACCACAATCATTCTGTACAGAATTCAGTGAAAAGTGATAAATTCTGTTTGAAGAATGGTCATTGTCGTTATCTGTCGATGGGGAGCTACTCATTTACAATTGTTGAAATATGGTGCCTTTTCATAACAAAATTATGAAATTCATTCACAAGCAGTGTTTGAGCTAAAAACATATTATTTATTTCTCACTTTTTTTTTCTTCTTCGAATTAATGTCTCAAAATAGGCAGTGCCTATTAGGGTAAATAATAACTCACTTAAAAATAATTTCAAAGAATAAAATTCCGCAATTCGTCGTTGTCTCGTTAATTTTGGCCCACTCTAGTCTGAAGTATCCATTCGATTTTTTTAAAGACAATAATTCGATTAAGATTTGATTCACAAATGTGATAAGAAGATTTTCGTTCCTTTCTTAAAATTTATCCACTTCAGCATTATTGTGTGGAGGTTTGAAATATTTTTGAATATCATTTTTTTCAGATCGATTTAAATTCATTTCGTTTTGTATTAAAATATTATTATTAAAGAGGCAGAAAAAGAGAAAAAACTCACAGAATCGGACGGTCGACAACAATAACGTCTACATTACATTATGCGCGCATGTGTGTGTTCATAAGTATTTGTTTCCGGGGGAAACCACGGGTCTTAACATTGCTAATTTATTCTAGATTTTCTAGAATAAATTCTAATTTATCCTAGTTTTTCTAAGTTTCGAGTTTGTGACTACCCCCTGGATTGGTCTTGTTGCACAAATTGTCCATTATAATTTGATTTAGCTGCGCCGTTGTTTCGGAAACAGCTTATGTTCTAACGGCCACTTCAATATAGAAGCTATTTCAAGATATGCAGTAATAGCGACGGCAACAGAATAATCTATCACTTATGTGTTGGTTGAAGTAACAATGAACACATCAATATTGCCCATTTGCTGCCATTGTATGTCCATCGTCTGCATAATGAATGTATAATTTTCAAGAGTGCAAATTCAAGTGATACAGTTTCATTAAAACATTAAGTTTGCGTCCATGGCGGTTGTGGAAAACGAAACGAAACAAAGAGATGAGAAAATTGCAATAAAGAAAATTAAGTAGTTTGCATAAAGAGATGATGACAGAAAGATGTAGTTGTTGCATAGAGAACAAAAAAAAACACGAAAGAATTAAAAAAAAAAAAAACAGAAGAACAAAAACGATGAGCACAAGTAATAAAGAGCACTGGCTGCAAAGAAAATAAGCGATAATTTCAAGTTGCAATCTCATCAAAGTGTCATAAATCAAGAAGAAAAACATACCACCGAACAGCTTGAATGGTCTAGCTGCTCAGGACAATGCTCATCAAGTCGTTTCAAATGAATGAAAGCGTCATAATTGACTTGAAACGAGTAACGTTAAAAAGTAGTTTCGATCCGTTGATTCTTTCCTTTTCTTCTTATTCTTTTTAAATCTCTCTCTCTCTTTATCTCTATCTCATTCCTTTTAATTCGATAAAAAATATTTGCATGCGATGAAGAAATATCAAAGAAGAAGTGAAAATATATAAGAGAGGAAAAAACCGACGATGAACAAAAAGAGTTGAGTGAACGCGCATCCACTATTCGCTCACACATCATAATTCGTTAATACACACAAACACACACATTGCACAAAAACAATTGCCCGATCAAAGTGATACCATAACAATGAACTCATCGGACAGGCAATAAAGTCTATCCATCGATTGCAATGAACTTTAGTTGGAACTCTTCTATTTATGCTTCTTCATTCAAACAAAGAAAATTTCAAAAAAACAAAAACGATATTCTTGTGCAAAATATCGGATTTTGATGTGGTTTCCATTTTACTCTCGTTTTTTTTAAATATATAATTAATGAGAATAAAAGTGAGAATATTTAAAAGTATTTTAAAGTAATCCACTATAGTGGATAGTAAATTATTGATAAGAGATAGTTGCGGAATGTACTGTGAATAGACTCCGTTGATTCGTTCATGGTATGAATGCAGAACCATGCAATTTCGGCTATTCCCACTTTTATTCCAACATCCTCATATATCCACACAAATTAATCGTTCGAGTGATATTTAATCGATTGAAATTGAATCGGAAACTTTAAAATCTAAAAATAGCCAAAGCCGATTAAATTAAATTATAAAATCTGTCTTTTGAACAGTGACAGTCTTTTGAACAGCGGTTAAGACATCATTTTCTTATCGCTTGTTTGGTTCATTCTCAGTTTGAGTTCCCTTGAATCGTGACGCCGTTAAAACTTTTTGTGGATATATAGAAAAAGGCATCTACCATTGCATCACTATTGATTTTGGCCAACGGTAGTATTTTAGCTCATTCTAATCTCATTCACATTTATTATTGATGTTATGTAATTATATTTATACTTAACTCACGCACACATACACACATTCTCATTTGCAATGCCAACACTTTGTCGGTTAATGTATATTTATGCGTTGACACTTGATGGTATTTTAGATTTTCATTGACATCTTCTCTGTTTGGTGAGTGCGTTCTTCTTTATCCGCTCGTTATTGCCATGTCAATGTTGCCAACTATGTGCCAATAATCAACATATTTATTGACACCATGCTTTTGCAAGTTTCATTCTCCTTTTTTCTTTCTCTCTTGTCTGGCATAAGCATATGTATAATACTAACTACATAGTATTTAGATGAGAGCAGAAGAAAACAACAACAAAAAAAGACATGAAATTACAACCATTCCAATGAATATGAAATCACTGATGTGCAATCATGTATTTTAGCCGGTGTGAATTCATAAAATTCTCATATAATTCTGACTGTATACCCGCCAATCATCTTTTTTCAACTGAAATCCTTTTGGTTTGGCAGAAATTCAGAGCCTTTGAACTGGAAACCCTGACAATAAAACGGAAAATTCAACGGAAGTTTACCAACATACTTACAAAATGCCAACAACAAAAATTGTTGTGAAATAATTCGAAAATAGAAATAGAAAAGTCTTCTACCATGAAACATGCTGTGATCATGTACTCCAAGGATATGTTTAAAAAGGTTCAGACCAATAGAAAATCACATTTTCTCCCATTTAATAGGATGCATGTTTCATTTTATTTCTGTTTAGGTTGAAATTGAATTCATTATCACAATAAGTGCAAACTATCTATCGTTGGAAGAAGACATAGCATACAAGTACTATGTATGAGTGTGCATGTGTGTCTTTTATTTAAATGTTTCACCATTAATAACAATCAAGTTGAATGTATTTATCATGAAAGGATATTATACAGTGAAAATGAGTGCAAACCAGTCAAGGTAAGAATATAAACGACATCAATTCGAATGATTGGTACGATAAAATAAACAAAAATTGGATCGATCGTATTCCTCTCTTGCTCTTTCATTGCCTGATTCGCTGTTGCCTTTGGTCTTGTTCACATCTCACGGTGATTGAATTGAAGCGAAAATGTTGTGAAACAATTTGTAAGCGTTTTGTATGTTTATCACGTTTTGAACATGAAAAATCATTCAAATCTGGCGAGGGATTGTTGCGCTTTTTTACGTAATTTTCCCGTCACTTCACTTATGACTGGTGCCATCATGCACACAATGCTGATTCAGAATTGATGTTATTGCTGCCGTAGTTTTTTATTCGCTCTCTCTCTCTCTCTCTCTCTCGAATTAATTTGTATTTGTTCGTCGTGTCTCTAACTTGAGCTAGGTGCGAAGCATGCGAAATCCAACTGTCGAAATGAGTATTGAAACAAAGCCCAAAAATCGCGTTTCGTTCATCGATTGCGATATGAATATTCGAATGTTGCAGTGAATAAACTCCAAATGGTTTTCAAATGATTTTTAAGATTTTTTTTTGTCGGTCACATTGATATGTCAACTTTGATGTTTTTTGCCGATAAAACACCGTATATCGTATCAACTGAAATTAAATAACAGCATGTGACTAGCGAGCGCACGCATCACCATAGCCACATACACTTGCGCTTACCTTTTCTTAATTTATTCGTTGCACTTCACTTCGCTATGTGTAAAAGTGAAAGAGATTCGGATGATATAGAAAAAAAGAGCAAAGCAAACACACAACAGACCCAGACTGAAATCAAACATTTAAATGATTTATTTCGCCTTTGACATCAGTCAACATCCATTAAAGTTATGCATTTAAAAGCACTTTTATCCAACAAAACTATTACATGCTTGGTGGGTTCCAAAAGTTTCCGAATTATTTGCTACCAACTAGCATACATTTTGTTGTATGATTTTCAATATATGTTTCTCAATTTTAAAATACTTTTTTTCCAGCATTAATTCTGGTGTGTATTTCGACGAGTGCGAAAACTTTTGGAACATACCATGTCGCATGTTTTACACACGCACATAACATTCCCTTCGATGCGTTCGTTGCTTTCTAACATCTTTTTTTTCTATCTTCTCTTTCTCTATTGCTCTTCTCTCAAGCTTTAAATGTGCTTGAAGAGAAAAATGTGCTTGTGAGTGTATTTTTTTGTATTTTAACGTTCAGACGCAATACAATGTATCCATGTGTGTATGATTAGTATATAATGATGTGACTAAAATTAATTCGCATTCGACTTTGTCGTATTGGCATGCTCATTTAAAAAGTACTCAATTAAACAACAAGCACTCAACAAAAACGCAAATCTAAACGGCCAATCAAAGCGTTGATGATGTGCTAAGCAATTTCATTAAAATATGCAAATGTTTTCTGTGTGATTTGAATCGATGTGATTTAAGAAATGAACGTATAACCATTTCAAAATGCCCAGTGATTTTACGCTATGGTAAATCTTTGTGCTTTTTTTCTTTTTCTATTTTCTTCTTTTTCTTTACCTCTCTCTCCCCTCCCTCCTCTCGGATCGAATCGACTCTCTCGGAATGACAACGAAAAAGCAATGAAAATTCATTCCATTTATAATGCGATATAAGTAAACAAGAATTTTTGCTATCTTCGACCTGCGCTTTAGTTACTAGAGCATGAAATGTTTACACTGCTTCTCTTATTCATACCTGCCGCATTTTTGTTCTGTTTGTGCGCTCACCAAGCACATAATATTCAATATTTCTCTTCTTCTGCTTCTTGCTGTTTATACGTCTTTTTTCTTGCTTGCACATGACTCATATTAAAATCATTCATATCGCATAGAATAAAATATGAAAAAAATATGTGGTATGTGCATATTGAATTCGACCACAATCTTATGTAATTTAAAAGAATAATAAAAAAAAAATTAATATTCAACATCAATGACGATATTGACATTTTATACATCGCATTGAAATTTTTTATTAGTTTGCTTGACGAAAATCTTTTTTTTTTTTTCAACGAAAGCAAAAATATCTTTAAACGATAAGTAGAATTGTGGCGTTTGAGTATTTTCGATATTGTCGTTATGTCTTTAAATTTAACATAGATCCGGTATACTCAACCATAACTAAATCATTCCACTGACTACTTGAAACTACACTCATTATTTACCATTATTTTTTTATTATTGATATGTTTGCTTTTAATTTTCCTCTAACCATCGACTTCGTGATGTAGTATGCTTGTATTGTCTTTGTCTCTTCTTTTCATGCCCATTATCAATTGTCCACGTAGTCGTGCCTAGTATATGCATAAACTATGAATTTATGTCAAAATGATAGCTTTATCATGGAAAATGGAAATGAAATGTTCCCACAAACATCGATCGTTTTATGATTTGCCGCAAAATCATGTCTTTTTCATCAAGCAAATATTACTTACGTTCGTACAACAAATTCCAGTTTTAGTTTCTGCTTCAACATTTATACTTACTTACGTGCACTTAGACTCTTAAAGTTCTGATAGTTATCGACTTCGCTGAAATGAATATGCTTTTATCTAGAAGAAGAAGTTAAAGACCAAAAACAAATGGAAGAAGAGAAGCGAAGATAAGAATAATGCACGAAATTTTATTTGGTTTTTTATGCTTTTTTTGTGTAACCACGGTAAGTTTTTATTGGCCATTTTTTTACATTTTTTTGAAATCATTTTTATCAATTGTTATTTATTGAGTTTTTTTGTGGTGTATATAAACATTTTTTTAAATTTTTTGTTATAGATTTTTATGTTGATTTTTTATTGTAATATTTTTTTTTCATTTTGTTTTTTTTTTGTCTATGTATTTTGAATGCTCTTGAAATGATATTATAGTTACATTACATAATAAATAGGCTTTAACACACATCATCAACATCATTTTTTTCCTGTTTTCATATTTTGTTTGCCAGTGTCATTGCGTTCTCAAAACTTGAATCGTTCCGAAAAGTAAAATAAAATTTAACGAAAAAAAATATACATATATATCCCCCAATATCTTTTCGATAAATAACATATGTGCTCCATGCCAATGCATTAGTGCTTGATTTACTTGCTTTTTTTCTTCTCTTTTGTACCGTTTACTTATCTCAATCGATTTCACGCTTTCTTCTGTATATTTTGTACCGGTGTCTGTGTCGCTGAGTGTATATGTGTGAAATTTTTGATTTTGATAGCATTACTTCGTACACATTAAACGTGTTGCATAACTGCACGATAATTAATTTGTAATAAATTTTTTTTGTTATCAGTGTCTTATTTTTTATTGTTTTATTTCTGGACATTGATTTGTTGTTTAAACACATATTTTACAATTAAATTTCTTTTGCTAAATCTAACTCTAACAGACAACATGTACAATATACTTTTAGACAACAATAGAAAAAAAAATGGTGGCTATTTTGTCATTTGTTTAGTAGCATCATCAGCACGTTGATTTGTTTATTTTTGTTTTTTTCATACTGTTTGTCATAGCATAACATCCATTTGTACAAACTTTCGATCTCACTCTAATGCATTTTCAATCATAGCGTGTCTTTAAACTTATCGCATTCGATTTTCTTTGTCTTTCTTTTTGGAAAATTCATCCATACGTATTATCTCTATCTGTGTGTATATGTGTGTGTATTTTTTGAAATTTTCTGATGTAATTCACTCTCTGAACTCTGGACAATTTATTGACTTTTACCATTCCATTTCTCATTTTGTGTTTTGTATCCACTTTTCCTTTCTAAACATCAAATACAATCCTTATTTATCACTTAAATGTTGTTGTTTCTTTTAAATTTTATTTGCTTCATTCCTAAATTAAATTAACCAGTAAAAATGAACCAAAACGAATGAAAAAAAAAAATAATAGACAAGAAAATTATTATAATAATAGTCATAATAATAGTAATATAATAATAATGATAATAATAATAATATATTTTATGTATGATTAAAAAATGTTTTTTTAAAAGTAACTGTATAAACATGAATAAACGTTTAACGTGGAAATTCTTCATTTTTCTTTCATCCTTAAAAAAAAAGATCGTCCGTTTTCTTTTTTTGAAAATGAAACAACTTAAAAGTTAAAAAAAAAACTCCATTGATGATGAAGAAAGAAAGAACAGTTTGTTTAGCGCTGTGAATTTATCTTTCTATTGTCCATCAATAATAATGCTTGGCTATTTGTTTGTTGTTCTCGGATACAGAAATTGCATCTCCTTTCTGTTCCACAGCTTTCGAAAATTTTGACTATTTTATTCAACATACAAATCGAATCGATACATTTGACATATCGCATCTGGGATTGCGACAAGTGCTCATCGTAGTTTGTGCTCACAGAAAAATTTATTTATAGTATTTTGCTTGGTTTTGTTTTTAACGAAAAGATATTTAAAAAAAAAACACAAAACCAATAGCAATGCACTTGCGTCTGATGTCGACATTTCATCGAAACCATAATCAACATTCATTCGATGAGCAATCATTACAAGCTCAAGGGAGCAAAGTTTTCTCTCGCTCTCTAACACTTATTTCCTTGAATTCAATTCGCATGTAGAGAATGAGAAGCACATTGACGTGCAATTCTCAACGCCTTTGTTTTTGTGTTGTTGTTGTTGCATGGCCACGTAGGAAAAATATCATTTTGAGCGATATCCGAATCCATGTGTATTATTTATCATGTATTACATTCTCTGAATATCGCGATCGTCACACTACAGATATCAACGACCGATAAATTCTATTCATCATTTGAATTGCCCGTTTGTTCATTTGTTCCCATTGAACAATATCGGGTAGTTAATTAGTATAAGTTGTATTTTAACATCAAGATTTCTTAGGATATTTGATTGTTGTTGATTTTGATTTCATTCAGAGTTTTTACGCTAAATGTTATGTTAAATGTTCATTGTAGGGTATTTGTTTTCTAATTTCATCAAAATTTTGTGGATAAATTTTGTTTTTTAAAAATTACATGCTTTCAAATGTTGAATAATAAAAAATAGTTCAAGAAAAAATTAAACACATGGATGATTATAAAAAAGAGCCATTAGTAAATAAATGTTGATATTTATGATGTTGTTTGTAGTTCTTGTGTAATATTAGTCTCAAAAACGCTATTAATGTCGTTTACTTTCTTCATCATGCCGATTTCAATCGGTGGTTTATACTAAATGTCAACCATATTGAAAATTGTTGGCTTTGTCGTACCCCACTAATGGCCGACAATTTCACAAAAATTCATTAATATTCACATCTTTTCATTTATTTTCTCATTATTTTTTTTGTGTGATTCGTAATTCGAATCAACATCAGGAATCATTTGTTTGTTTTCTTTTATCGCTTCTTCTTTTCTTTAAAAAAAAAAATGCGTTTTCCATCATTCATACATACACTCATGCCCACACCCACACACAAACCAAAGGGGTTTTCTTCCATCGAAAGTCCCTATTTTACGTTGCATCTTTTACGATTTTATCAACGTCGGTGTGTGTGTTTCTTTTCTATCATTTCAAGTTTATCTCATTCGACGACTGCATTGCCAGACATATCGACTCAATGTCACATGAATAGTCGTTATTTTCATCGCATCTTTTGCTCTTTCTCTCTTTAACTCTTTTGTCGCTCAAACTAAAAAAAAATTATTAAAATAAAGAAAAGAGAAGATAACATTTTGATCTAACGCTAGGAAAAATGGATTTAAAACAAATCATAGAAGAATTATTATATCGGCAGCATGGCATCTCTTTCTCGTTATTTTTCTTTTTCATTGTATTCAAATTAGATTTGTTATTATACTATTATAAACTAAAGCCGAATTTTATTGTGCAAATGTTGTGAGTTTGTTGTTTAAAAGAGCTGATTCGAAATGAAAAGAAAAAAAAAGTCCACAAGTGTGGATCGGCGACAACGGCGACAACAATCGATGATGGTATATGCCGACCAATGAATGTAATGGCATTTGCAATTTTAGTTCTATGACTTTTCTTCTCCATCTTCGTTTTTTTTTTGTTTTTCTCCTTTCATTTGTGTTATTGTTTCCATTGAATAAAATAGAATAGAGAAAATAAATGAAAGAAAAAACTATGTAGTAGTTCTTGTTGTTGTTACTGTTAGAGTGGTGTGTGCCATGAATCTGATTTCTTCTGCTTTCGCGCTACTTTCAGCTTGATTGAATACCGTTTCGTTTGGTTGATTTTTTTTGTTTGTTTGCTCAGTAATGTCGATTTTATACATATACATATAGGTATTACCGGTAAAAGACTAAATTAATTGAAATGAAATTTAGATCGTCGACCACATCAGACAGATCTTGGCATTAAAACATAAATAGATTTAAAATCGACACGAACGAATGAGAAAATATATAGATTTATATATAATTAATAAAAATATTTAATATTTAAATATTTGCTCAATCACCACTTTCGATATACACACATGCATCAACACATATTTGTGTTTTTCTCTGTCTTGCTCTGCGTATGTGTTTGGTACATTTACGACAAATTTTGCTCACAGACTTTAACAGAAACTGTGTCAGATTGATTTTCTTCTATTCAATCACTGTCTGATGTTTAAGTGAGCGGCCAATCTTTCGTCGGTGTATTACATTCAGGTGTCTTTCCTTTTATTTGTTTCGTTTTTTTTTAAATTCTCTATATGTATATTTCTCAAATTTCGCTTAATTTACTCACACAAGACTTGAAAATGCTTCGATATTTCGTTCAATGTGACGCGTAAAAGTTTTGGGAAGCATGGAAAAATACCAGCTTATTAATAATTTTTTTTTTCAGCCTCATTAGATGCAAGATCAAGTGTCAGTGAGAAAAACGATTTCAGACCCGATCCTGAGGTGTATTTTGAAATTCTTCACAGCGTATTTTCATTTGTCGTTTGTTTAAATAATTTATTTATTGCCTCTTCATTAATTTTTTTTTTCCTCACTCATTTCCTGCTCATTCTCACATTAATTGTTTTTGGTTCGTAAATTTCGATTTACGCACAAAATTTACATTCGTTTCGTAATTGAACGAAGCTTCACAATTCCAAGCTGTTTAAAATGTATGAAAGTATTTTGGCTTTGTTTGTGTGTGTGTATGTTTTGTTGTTGTTGTAATTCTTGTTCGAAATAATGTATTTTTTGCACTGTTCTGAGATGACGTAAATAAATGTGTAGCCGGCAAATGTGAAAAAATGTTAGAATGCCGGAACATTTCTCGAAAAAACTTTTCCCAAAAAATTCGGGAGAATTTCTCTAAGAAGATTTACCGAATTTTTAGGGAAACGCTCGTTCGGTATGAAGTATTTTTCGGTAAATGTTCCGGCATTCAAAATGTTATCATATAGCGCACTAGTTTCATTCATTTTACGCAGCATAGTTTCTTTTTGTTTTTGTGTTGCAAGAAAACCATATTATTTCGTTCGTTCATGTGTGTATTTCTTAATTTAAATTGTATTTCAATTATTTGCAAGTGTTTGCATACAAACTCAAGTTCGTCTTATTTTGCCACTTTCTGTCAACAACATTCAAGAATGTGAGTGATGTAATAATAAAATCGAATATTTTATGGATATTGTATAGATCTTGGATAAACAGCAGGACTTAACTTACTCGTTTATTTCTCTTTTTTTTCTCTCTCGTCTCGTTTTCAATCCATACACACAGAGAATGAATCGGAAGCGACTCAATTGTTTGTGTGTATGCATTTCATTCGTTGCGCGCTGTCGAAATTGACGATATCATTCGAAGGTTTGTCAGTTTCATGGAAGAGGAAGCCAGTGAAAAAAAGTAATTTTGTATTGAAGATAAGTCCCGTCTATTTATGAAGATATTGGTTGATGGTTTTCCGACGAACTGAATTGTGGTGTGTTATGTTGTTGTTGCTGTTGCTGTTGCTGCTGCTGTTGTTGTTGTTTTTGTTGATGTTGTAGTTGTTGTTGCCGATTCACGTTGTCCATTGTGAATTGCACGTGCAGTACGTGGTGGGAATCACAGGCGCGTAGTATACACCATTCGCAAAGATCAGTCGCAATGTATTGGCGTTCTGGTCTTGTGCGACACTGACACCGGTACTGCAAATTGGTTGCAATTGTTGCGATTGGGTGGCATGAATGATTTGCGATGTTTGTGACTGTTGCTGTTGCAACTGCCACGTTTTATCGTAGTCATCGGGCTTCGTTCGACACGTCGTCAATTGTGTCTGAGCATTTGTCGCTTGCGGTGTTGTTGTTGCTGATACAATACGAATCGAGAAAAAAAAATTCATACACGGGAAAAGTAAAACGGAAGAGAAAGAGAAAGAGAGAGCAAAAAAAGGGGAAAAATGAATTCACAATTGAATTTGTTGAGTTTCTTGGTAAGAAATGATCGCATTTGGATCTTAAGAGCTTTTAAGAAATACGGATACACTTACTGTGCACAAAGAACAATGGCTGCGTTTGGATTTGCTGTTGAATGTGTTGTTGTGTCTTTTGTTGTTCGCGATAGTAAATTTCCATGGCCAATGTTTCGATGAGCGAAAGTGTTTGACGGCGCTCGTGGCCCATCAAACAGACAGTCGACGTTTCGACAACATCACGTAAATGCATCAAATATTGATATTGTAATGGCTCTTCGTCAACGCCCCAAAAATGATTGCGCAAATACGATTCCAGTTTTATCGTTTGCGTTCCAATATCCGGAAAGTCGATGAAGAACCGTGAACACATGTACCTGTAATGAATAAAAAAAAACCATATGGTTATTAGATTTTTCATTGCATTTGCATACGGAATCAAAAATTCTAATTGGAAATGAAAGCACAAAAAATATCGCACGTATAGCAAAATTCTTTCGAACGTTGTGGCGCAAAAAGCGTAACATTTTCGTTATTTTTTGCGCGACAATTTTTTTTGTCGAATGTTAGTTTTTGCGAGCGATATTTCCGTTGATCGTCTTTGAGCTGTGCTGTACTTTGTTCAAATGTTGTTTGTTTGTTTGTTTTTTTTTTTTGGTTTATAACTAACAATTCAACTGTAAATGTATATAATTACAAGTGTCGCACTTACCGTTCCAATGTTTTGATCTGGTTATAGTCGACTGGTCGATAGTTTCGCACCAGTAGATTACAGTATTTAAGTAGTCCACCACCGCGAATCTCTTCGGGTTGCCGTGTTGAGATCAATTTATTTTGCAGATGATATAATGCTTCTTGGAAATCACCATAAACCGATTCACCGACAACCGTTGGATAGAAATTTTCCGATATGGGCAAAGCGGCACAATCATAAAATAGTAACAATGAATCCAACATGATTTGAAATGAATCAACGCTAAACTCAAATTGACGTCGCATTGTATCGACAAATTTCAGTTCGACATTTTTGTGACCGGGTGAATTGCCCAGCGATATCAAACTCCAACGATCGCCGTCATTGTTGTTATTCACTTTTACCATTTTACCAACATAGGCCTCTTTCAATTGCGTATTGTGTGTGATGCGACGACGTGACACACCTTCCGGTAACAAATCCATCAATGTATTTAAAACGGCCATTTTAACACGATCATAATGACGACCTGAACTGAATTCAATACCAAATATGAGATCTAAATCATTGTATGGTTGCGGTTCAGAAGCTAAAACAAAGAAAATAAAATAAAATTCATTGAAATTGATTTTGAATTCATTAGACTATAGAAAATAGAATGCTTTCATTGAGAATTCAAATTATCTCATATTAAATAGCTAGTATTAAACACTAGCCGTTAACATAAATGTTTTATCATATTGGATGTTGAGCTATTGCCTAAAATATGAAAATGATGTTGTGCTTACCTATAACATGACTAGCTGCGCCTCCATTTATTCGGATATCTTTTACTTGAACACCACCACCGCCTAACGCAACATCTAATTCCAATTTTTTTCGTACCATTGTTACCAAGTCTTTGAGCTTAACTTCCAATGTTGGAAAATTTCCACGACCGTGTATGGCAACAACATCGTTCATAACGTCGTTCAATTTGCGACATTGTTCAAACGATAGGACGGCCAGGCGTCGCGATGTCGTCGAAAAATTGCACGATGTTGAAGACTCACTGTAAATTATACACAGAGCAAACACCAATGAAAATATTGAAAAAAAAAAATCAAGAAAATCACCACATGATCTCATTTAGAAACTGTGTTTTATAAGTGACGCCTTCGTTTCGGCAACACAAGCAGAACATGTGGAATGAAAGAGAGAAAACAATCGAATAATGGAATGTACTTACATTTGCAAATGATGTGTGCTGGAGGAATCAATTACACTCTCCAATGAACCATGATCAGAAGTCGTCGATAGGATTGATGGCGAACTAGATGTGCTTGGACTTGGTGGCGGTGAAACAGAGCCACCGTCTGAATGGAAGCCATCATCAACTTGAAGTGTATCCATAGTAGAAGACGACCGTCCACAAGAATCGGGTACTTTTAACGTTTCCCCGGTCTGTCATTATCAAATCGGAGCCAAACGCAAAAAATCATGAAAAAAGAAGAGAAAAAATAGAAAACGAAATTAGAACGTTAAAATTTACATTCATTAGTCGAGCATTTGATTGATGGTTACACAATAATATTCGGAACCACAAATGTCAAAACATCGACAAAAATGTTGCGCTATACAATTTTTTTATAGGTATAACCCAGATTTTTGATTGCACGCAAACTCACAATATAATTTAAAATTCGAACTTTTTGAATTTACCGATAATAAAGTTTAAAAAAAAAACACAGAACCTTCAATTACAGTCTATCAATTTGAATGTTCTTTTTTTGTTGCAGCCCCGCATTTCCAACCAATTTCAATTTTCAACGACATTCGAACACTTTCAGCTGGATGGTATTCATTTTTATATAAAGATTTTCACTCATGCATGTTCCTAACAGCTTTAAACTCAATATGTCAAATCACCTATAATTAAAATTCCATACGATGAGTTTTTTCTCACTTCTTCTTGCTATTGCGTTCAAATGATTGCTCTTCGATATGTACCACAGCATCACATTTGTGTCATCCTTGAATACGTTTTTTATACCATCCGCTTTTTTTTATCGTAATATTAACACATTTTCCGCGTGGTTTCTGAGAATGAAATTGTGTTCGGTGTGCGTGTGTATAACAAAGCAAAAAAAAAAAAAAATAAGAAACCATATTTGAGACTGACATTCATTTGAAGAATTTTATTTCACGTTAAAAAATATCATATAATTCTGAATTGATGCAGAACATGCTCGAATGCCACAACAAAAGGAAATTATTGTGTTCAATGCAAACGTATTAACGAATCATCTTCAAATGAACGAATCAAATTTCAAATAAAAAAAATGAATTCTCATATTTCTGCCGTAAATTGAGCGCAACATTTAGATTCGCATCGATAAATCGTTGATTATCGCAAACTGGCACAGTTTAATTCAAGGAAGTGAGAGATGTTTGTGTTTTTGCATAAATATTCAATTAATAAAACTCCTACATAAAACCGAGCTCGCTAAACAATGGGTGTGAGATAATGTCGCTCAAGCGACAGACAGAGATAGAATGAGATAACAATCGGGAAACGCGTATGGATTTGAGCGCAGTACTTTTGTTCTAACGTGTTAATTATAAGACAGTTTTTTTCATCGTTTTCTATCTTTATCTCGTGTCGTTATCTCATCGAACGATGAAAAAACAACCTGGAAAAAGAATACAAACAGTTAATTAGCCAGTATTCGTAGTTCAAATGGTATGGCTGTCTATTCGACTAAGAATTTGTCTAACATCTTAATTGATTCATAATATCTTTGCGTATTTGAGCGCAAAAATTATAAGTCGGATAAGATTGCGATCATTTGTTCACGTCCAATTATCGCAAAACAATAAATGAAAACGCATCCGATAAACTAAGCAGCTGAATTGATAGATCCCATGCAATATACAGTATGTTTCATTATAGAGAGAGGTTGATTTTTTATAATAAAACTCAAGAGTTTTACAAAATTATTTTATATACATTCTATTTAGTATCTAAGCTACGGCGCCACAAATTAATATTTAATCCATTCTCCTGCCTTCTCGATCACACAGGCACATCTATTCGGCATACTTTTGCTCAAATTTTCAGCATATTCGCTTTGAAAACCTTTCCACTGGCGCTGAATGAATGAACTGAGCTGCTTCAAATTGCGGTATGTTTTACCACGAAGCCATGCCTTAATAATAGCCCAAAAATTTTCGTTCGGATTGCAATCGGGTGACTGTGGCGGCCAGTCCATTTGTTTAATGTAATTTTCCTCTTTCCAAGCATTGCATAGACGACTTTTGTGTTTTGGATCGTTGTCTTCTAATAGAAGCCAATTCGAATTGTGGTTGCCATAGAACTTCTTAGCGATGGGTAACTGTGTCGATGAATAATGTTGGTTCATCCTCACGGCGCTTGGAATCCCCGTGAATATGGTCAACTTTCCAAAACCAGCTTCACAAAAGCAACCATAAGCATGCACCTTTTTCGGATACTTTACCGTGCGAACGACCATTCTCTTTTGGGCTCTAGACTAGGCATGGGTAGTGCTATTCACCAGCCAAAAGAATGACTCGTCAGTGTATATAACTTCGCTCCAATCTCTTGTTGAATTTTGCTTTGCCCCGTCAGTGCCTTTTTCTTCTGGTTTTCTGTCAGAAGCGGTTTCTTCAATTTACTGCGATAACGAACACCGGCAACATCTAATCTTCTCCTGATAGTAGAGCGCGAGACCTCTATTTTAAGACGGCGTAGCCGTTCAACACCTTGGCTCTACAACATACCTAAATTTTTATCGAACAACTTGACTCTCCGTTTATCTTCCTGTTGCGAGGAGGCTCAGTTTGGCTTCAGATTGGGCTGGTCGTTCACTTTTTTTTCATGCTTATACTGCTGGATTCACTTTATTACGAACCCTTTTGACTTTTTAATGTATTTAGCAGTCGATGTGATCGACATTCTTTGTCCTTTTGGATGCAAATGCAGAAAAACGGCTTCAAACCGTGAATGAAAATGTTCGGAAATAATGTTTTCGTTGCACAACAAACACTGTACTGATTTGAGAGCTGTCATTGTTAATTGGCGTAGTAGCTTAGAGTCTCATATGGCAATACCAAAAACATTTTTAGGATATTTGAAATTTGTGGTAGTTAAATCAACCTCTCTCTATAATGAAACATACTGTACATTAAGTGAACAAAACTAGACCTCAGAACAAAATTATATTAATGATCGGCGGCATCTTTTACTGTTGAAAACAAATCGCCTGATAATAAATAAGTAGAATAGTTGCGAGCAACTAGATAAAGTTGCGAAATGTAAAGAATAAAAATATAATCTCACATCGTTGTTGAGACTTCATAATATTTACATTAGTAAATGAAATCATCGCTTGATTGAGCATGGCATCATTGATCTATTTATATTTATTTATCTAGCCACCTGATTAAATCGAGATGCCAAATATCAGACATAATCAAGCAATAATCGACTACGAAAAAAAAAAAGTGAACTTATTCGATTGAATGATTAAAAGTTTGTAGCCGAAAATAGTAAAATGGCAAGAAAAAAAGGATGATGTGAGAGTGTGTGACTCCTTTCTTATTGATAGGATTGATTCAAGTTGAAATGGTGTATCGATTTTGTTGTCCCGGCACAAATATTATTGTGAGAGTGTCAATGATATGCTTGCACGCAATTCTGAGAAGAAGAACAACAGCAACAAAATTCGAATGAGACTTGCAAAAAAAAAAATCCCAAATTTAGCAATAATAAACAGGCTCCAGCGCGTGCTAATGAAGGTGGTGACATTGTCGGCAAGTGATAATAGCCTTTTAGTTGGGTGCTCATTCTCATGTCAGACTTATTTCTTCTTTTTTTTTCATTCTCAGCTCAATTCAGTTTTTCCGAATTTAATGTTTACGCATATGCGTATGTTTTGGCTTAATTGCGCTAAACCACATTAATAATATAAATAGGTTTCCTTTGCACGTTCACCAAACAAACTCACTCACACACATACATACATATTTATACGTTTCGTGTGAAACTTACACCATTTGCGGTATGGCCTTGTTCGGCAACATGCCGAGTAATAGTAAACAACAAACGCAATGAGATATTACATGTGTTCATTTGAATATAAAAAAAATCCTCCACAAATACACGACACTTGGTGTATCAGGTGATGAGAAACGTGTACCTCTCAAAAACTTCAAAATTTTAATTTAGAAAAGCATCTCAACCACTTTTATTTATCACCGCAGATCATTTGAAATGTATGTTCTTTTACTTCATATAAAATACCTTTCATATTTTTTTTTCTTCTTCTTCTTTCTAATGATGAAAGAAGAGAAAATTTTATCAACACCGAAATTTACACTTACAATCGAGGGATACATTCCATTCAATTTGGAATGTAAACTGTGTGACGAATTTACTACGTACAACATCAACGGCATGTGTCTCAACGAATAAAATAAAGAAAGGCTCTTGAGTACGATGCCGCGCATCGCCAATTTACGTTCACTTTTCAAATTCTATAATTCGATATTTCAATATATGTGTGTTTAGCTATTGCAATCGTTGCTCGGTTCGATTCGAGAATTTTGAAAATTGTTTTTATATATTGCAAACCATGGTGGCATAGCGTAATGTGTATGATTCGAATGTCAGACTCATTTCGACCGTTTACACTCTCTGATGTACATGCCAAAATAATAATTAATTAGACGGTAACAAAGGGTGTTTGTGTGAGCGCATTTAAGCGCACTTTTATGCTTATCTGTCATCATAAATTCACTGTTGAAATGACGGGTTAGATTGTTCATTTGCTTCGTTCACAAAACACAAGCTTGTGTCCGTTTTGTATTTGGATTTTTTTTTGTACATTCGTTTAGTAGATCGTTCTCTTACGTTATGATTGTTGTATGCATGGCAGTTTTGCTGTTTATTCAGTGTTTTTGTTGTTGTTGCTTATTTTCTGTTTCTTTCTAAAAATTTATTTTCATCGTCGCAATTCTTCATATACACATTATAATTTGAATTTTATCGTGATGTAAAATGGTTTAAGCATTCAAAGCACACATAAATGCACATGGTCTTGGTGCTTATACTTTTACTTTGGTTTACATGGCTTTACCTAATCGATTTTGCGTTATTATTTTACGATTGCAAACGTGATACACACTGGAAAATTCGAAATGCATATGGAGCAACAGCTGAAGTTGAAAATATGCGCCACACCAACATTGCCATCGAATGCATATATCCATTGACGTCATCGAACAGAATGAATTCCAGCGAAGTTGCCAATACCAATTTTTTTTTTTTTTAAGTGAAACAAGTTGTGGCAAATATGTACGGTGTTCCGCCACCACGATTTTATCAATGTAAAATGTCTATGCGTTAAATGGCGTTTAAGGTGCTCCAATTTAAAGGCCGATTT